ACAATGACAATGACAATGACAATGACAATGACAATGACAATGACAATGACAATGGCAACGACAATGACAATGACAATGACAATAATTAAATTGATATGCTACCATAAATACAAAATATCGAATTCTAGACGTAATACCCATATAATGTGTTTGCCAACTGGTTAATCAAGTGTGTTATGCCGACTGTCGACTAAGTGCATAATATATATGTATGTACACTAATAAGCACAGGCCACACACAATTATATACGTGCATACAACCGTACACACACAAAAAAAGAGAAAAGCAAAAAAAAAAGAAAAAACTAAAACAACAAACACATCGACAACTAAACAGTTCGTTGAGCAGAAAAACGAGGAAATCTACTTAATCACGTTTAATTAAGGTGAGTTTATAAGTAGCTGTGTGTATTAGTGTGCCGCCTATACATTAATGTGTGCACGTGTGTGTGCGCTTAACTACTTTTTTTTTTTTGCCAATTGCCTTTATTGCTTTTATGCAGAGCTAAAGACACAAAAGCACTCGCCAGGTAATCGCCGAGGCCAGGCTTCAAAGCGGTTTCGGGTCCCCTCCATAAACCAAACAGCTTTCATGTGCACATAAATGCAAATTAGGGTTAAATGTTGATGTGTTGACTGTATGTGTGTGTGTGTGTGTGTTGTGTGTATACGTGTGTGCAGCATTGCGGATTATAATAATAAGCAAGTGCTTAGCATAAATGGATTTATTGGCTGCACATTCATCAAGAGTCAAATGTTGGCACTTTGTTTGCATTAGACGCTTAGTTGGGCATTATTTCCCTTTCAGCATTATAATGTTCTCTATATATGGTGGCGCTTGATGTAATTGTTGCTGGTCAGCATCTTAGGCACACTTGGCTGGTCATCTGTGCGCTGCCCCCTCACTCCGCTTGCTATTCGAGGGACAGAAAATCATCAAGGGGTGTTATGAATGTGGATTTACACGGCTTTTCCGTATTCTCAGCTCCCCAGGGCGATAGTTGATCCCTGGCCTCAATACGTGATTGGGGTTTAGGATTTTTCATGGCCTCCAGTTCTTTTTCCCGGGTGCTACGCAACAGCATCTCCCGCGCGGCATTCAGTTCGATGCGCTGAATATCGGTTAGATCCGTTTCCGGAAAGATCTTAATGAGTTGATCGCCCTCGGACATGGTTACGTATCGCTTTCAAATTTATAAAACAGTTTTTATTTAAGGTGTTTTTAATGGAACAAAAAACTTCTTACTTACAACAAATTGTTTTGCAACGTGAAGAAAATAAATTCAATTATTATTTCAAAGCCTACTCGATGTGATTTATTTTCAGAGTGAAACTTCAAACCTGTGTTGATAAATGACGAAATTTAACTGTACTTACATTTCTGTCATTTATTTTTACTGTCACTTATTGTGATGTGCTTCAAAATATGAGTTCTCTGTCAAAATATCTCCATCCCCAGCCCAGATCTTTGGCTTACTCAAAGACTAAGTTTTAGTTCAAGTTTACAACACTATTGTATTTTCCTTTATATTAATTCTCATGGAAATTCGTAAGCAAAAAGTAGCTCTCTGTCTAGCTCAGCTTTAGTGCTATTTGTTGTTTGGCGTCAGATCTGTTTTTTTTTATTCATCATGAAAAGTTTTGTGCTTGCTCTCTGAGTCATTTCGTATTATCTCGTGCAATCTTAATAATTTGTGTACCTTTGCTGCGACGCTCTATTCAGTGATTCCGACTTCTGTTGCCAATCCTCGTTAGTTCCTTTTCTCACGCTGCCTCCCTCTCTCTCCCTCTCTGTCTCTACTTCTATCTTTTCTCTGTGTCATTGCTGTGATTGTCACATATGCGCCATGGCTCGTTGTTGCGCCACATCGAATGAGCGGGAATGACATGCTGCTGCCTGCACAGTGGCAACCTTCTGCTCATTCGGTTAATTGAAAAATCATGATGGTGCTCATCATTAGCAAGAGCTTCGTGACTTATGTCGTCCCATACAACTACCCGCAGCCGCCTCCCTGCCACTGTTTTCCATTTATGTAATCGATGCATGTCAAACAGCAAGCACAACAACTGCATGACATGTGTGTGTGTGTGAGTGTGGGTATATGGGAAAAAAAAGGAAACGGCAAGCGCAACGAAACGTAACGAATGGCTGCGAAAGGAGGAAGGGGGCTGGGGAAGAGAGGGTAGCGGGCGTGACAACTAAAACGGGGCATAAAAACCTATCAAGTTGTAAGCTCGTTGATTTCAATTTCTGAATGCAAAATGCAGTCGCATTTGCATATTGCACATACGCCATGTGGCACAGGGCTCAGCACGTACTTGGACAAAAAGGAACAACAAAAAAATTCTTTCTAATTAAGCGCCAGCTAGAAATTAAAAAACATAAAATGCCTGTCACATGACAATGTGTGTGTGTGTATGTGCGTGTATCTGTGTGTGTGGGGTTCTTTTTCTTCCCCATGCTCTTCCCTAATTGTTTTGTATTGTATAAATTTTGTGGCTTTGGAACGAGGCAAGGCGAAGCGATGCGAGACGGCGCTTTGCTTTTTATTGCATAAACAAAATGCGAGGATTTTAGTTTTGTCGCTGGCTAAAAAGTACATAAATATCAAATAAGTCACGTTTCCGGCATTCTAGCACCAGCACCCAAATACACTCATCCACACACACACACACACACACACACACACAAAATAAAAATAAATAAATAAAAGTGCTTTGTTGTGGCGTCTGCGGGCAGCGAGAACAACACATATTTATATACATATACTACACATATACATATACATATACATATACGTATATAAATAGTCAAACGAAAGCCACGGACTATAGCAAACAAAATGCTAAAATGAATGTTAAATAAAAGCATTCCGAAAAAAAACTACAACAACAACAACAACAAAAGCTCAAGTGGCGCGGGGGCTGAGTGGAAGGCTCGCTGGATTGGACAACTGGTCCGTAT